CGAATCCCCATCTATTTTATTCATTTTTAGAGAGTTTTTGAGGGCTAACAACACATAAAAGTACAAAAAATTGTTTAGTCTATAGTGTGCATTTTTTACTAATTTTTTCTCAAGTAGAAAAAATATAAAATTAATTTTAGTTTGGTGAATATTTCAGAAGAAAAAATTATTTTAGAAAAATCCTTGTTATAAATTATAACTGGGTCTGAACCAGTGGTATGAACTAGAGACCGGACCGATACGATATATCGAAAAAAATATCGATATAACGATGTCGATATTTTTCGAGACCGATACCGATATTATCGATCAATAATTTTTTTCCGTCATTGGTACAACTTCTTCTGTATGCGAAATAAGATTTTGCCATTTTTTCATTTACTAAATCAACTTTTAAATTTTTTACTGTTCTAAACCAATTTCGATTTTATTAATTTTTCAATTTTCAACGTTTTCTCGTTAATTTTACTATTTACAAAAATAATAAAATTAATTTTCCCTTCCTCTACATATGAAGGGACACAAAATCAATGTACACGCAGGTACCAGCTGGGTCCTTTTCTTTTTCAATTAATTATATTCACAATGTTTTCGCGCATTTATTTGGTCATATTTTAGTCAATTTATTTAACATTTAAAAATATTTTTAATTTAAATAAATTTTTAATTCGAATTTTTTACATATTTTTTCACTTTTTTATAGAAAATTAAATTTGTTACAAAATATGTTACTAAGAAAATTTTAAGATATTCACAAAAATTTAAAATTCGGAAATTAAAAACCCGACCGAAATCCGATTAGTTTTACTCAAAGATCTTCGGTTATCGTTCATCGTTGACCCTCGTGTTTTCAGTTTTCGGGTTCGTTTCAGTTACACTCTCATACACAACCCTACTGTTTATTATTAATTATCAAATAAAAAGTCAATACTTTTTTATCTTTATTAATTCGAAAGAATCTTCTATTATTCGGAAGCCTTTGCTAAGATAAATCTTTGGTTTCAAATAGAGTTTCAAATCATTTCTTGACTGATTTGATTTGCAATAATATTATAATATTATTATTTCTTCGAAAATTTAATTTATCTCGTAAATCCCTCAATTTGAAACCCAAAGAAAATTTAAAATACAAATGAAGAAAAATTCAATTTTAAAAATCAGCTTTTTGTGCCTCCAATTTGAAAAACTGAGTACTTAATTAATAGAAATATTTATCGTCATAAATTCAAATATCATCCAAAAAACTCAAATCATCCAAAAATTTCTCATCGGCCAACATATTTATATCATTATCTATTTGTTGAATAAGATGTTCAACTTCCACACACTTAACATTTCCTTGTTCTAACTGAACGTTCTCTTTGGAAACAATCGGTTCTTTTCCTTTATTATCACGAGCAATGTTCTGTGGCTTATTAAATGAAGTTCCTTCCCCATTATCAGCTTGAACATTTTTTAGTTTTGAACTATCATTTTGTCTAAGATTTTTTTCATTTTCCTTTTTTTGTTTGTATCGACGTATGTTTTCAAGCACTTTATCTCTATTATTTTTGTAGTATTTTCGTTTACGTTCTCGGATCTTTTCTTTATTTTTCTCATAATAAGCCTTATCATATCTGGTAGTTTTTAAATTGTCCTCTTTTTTATTTTTAAACTTTGGTTTTAAAGTTTCTCTATCTTCTTGATTTGGAATATCATCCAAAAAACTCAAATCATCCAAAAAGTTCTCATCAGCCACCTTACTTATATCATCATCTATTTGTTGAATAAGATGTTCAACTTCCACACAATTAACAATTCCAACTTCATTATAAGAAGATTGAGTTCGTGTATCCTTTTCTAGATGAAAGATTCCTTGATCTAACGGGTCGTTTTCTTTGAATGAAATCGGCTCTTTTCCTTTGTTTTTACTATAATTATTCTGTGAATTCAAATATGTATTTCCTTCAACAGATTGACCGATTTTTAATTTTGAACTACCATTTTTGAGCTGTTCATTTGCTTTATCTTTTTTATTTTTGTAGTATTTTCGTTTACGTTCTCGGATCTTATCTTTGTTAACTTTCTGATAATTTTGAGCACGTTTTAGAATATATTCTCTATTATTTTTATAATAATTTTGCCTATATTCTTTCAGCTTTTCTTTATTTTTCTCATAGTAATTTTTGCGTAGTTTACTTAGCCTTTCTTATTGTTCTTGTAGTAATCTCTATGATAACTAGTAGCTCTTAAATTGTCTTCTTTTGTATTTTTATATTTTGGATTTAACTTTTCTCCATCTTCTTGATTTGTATGATGGGTCGATGATCCGGCCACATTCTCCTCAACTCCAGTTAACTCGTTTTGATTTTTATTATTTTTAACAGAATTAATTAAACTCCATAATATCGAATTGAAAATTAAAAAGATTAAAACACTACGTAATTTCATTCTAAATTAATAAAAAAATTTATTTTAATAATTTAATTTTTATTAATTAACGCTAACTAATACAGATAGAATAAAATGAGATAATATAAAAAACAAAAAATAAAAAATAAATATAAAAATAATATATAAATTTACTTTATAATTAAAATTAATATAGGTAAAAACTCTCGGTGTATTTTAACAATATTTTTTAATAAATGCACTTTTTCATGATTATATTTAAAAGGTCAATATTGCTAAATATCGTGTAGACATATTTATTAACTATGAAATCTCAAAGGGCATTCTTACAAACATTAAAGAAAATCTTTAAAATTGAAAAATTAAAATTTATCATTGACAAATGACAATGATAAAAGGTTGCCTGATTTCCGGTCTTTTTCAGCTCTGGATCATGAAGAGTATTAAATATAAGGAAAATAAAACGTCTTTATATAATATTACAAGGCGAACAATTTAAATGTTTTTGATTTAAAGTGGAATATTTGAAAGTTTGAAAATGAAATTATTTAAATAAATTAAATATCATTCCAGCTTTCCCAGCTTTAATTTGATAATTACATCGAAATTACAATTTTTAAATATTTAGTATAATTAATAAAGGAAATAATTTTATTATTATAAGAATTCACAGATCATCCAAAAAACTCAAATCACCCAAAAATTTCTCATCATCCAACTTATTTATATCATCATCTATTTGTTGAATAAGATGTTCAACTTCCACACAATTAACATTTCCTTGTTCTAACTGAACGTGCTCTTTGATCGGTTCATTTCCTTTATTATCACGAGCAGCGTTCTGTAGTTTATCAAATGAAGTTCCTTCCCCATTATCAGCTTGAACATTTCTTAATTTTGAACTATCATCTTGTCTAAGATTTTTTTCATTTCTCTTCTTTTGGCGGTATTCTCGCTTGTAATCAAGCAATTTATCTCTATTATTTTTGAAGTATTTTCGTTTACGTTCTCGGATCTTTTCTTTGTTAACCTTTTGGTAATTTCGAGCATATTCTTTATTATTTTTAGTAGTTTTTAACTTGTCCTTTTTTGTATTTTTAATCTTTTCTTTATTCTTTTGATATCTCTCTTTATCATATTCTTTTTTTCTTAACTTTTTTCCGCCTTCATCATCTTTAGCTTCAATTTTATAATTTGTCTTTAACGTTTCTTTAAATTTTTGACTTTGAGCAGCCACGGATGATTCAGCCCAATCATTTAATATTTTATCTAAATCCTTTGAAGTTTCTTCAACTCCCTGTAACTCATTTTGATTTTTATTATTTTTAACAGAATTAATTAAACTCCATAAAATCGAATTGAAAATTATAAAAATTAAAACAATAAAATGTTTCATTCTAAATTTAAAATTATTAATTAGTCTAAAATAAAAATTGATTCAAAATTTAATTCATTTAAAAGAAAATTTAATTAGAAATATTTAATATAAGCAAATTATTATTTAATGATGAATTTTAATTGATCCTAGACAATTTAAGAAATTTTAAATTTAACGAATATAATTTTGTGATGAATTCCCGTTAAGATTTATGGATTCACACAAAATTTTCTTTTCTTCAAATCTCTCTCACTCTCATTTTTATCGCTTTAATCCTCAGAATCTATTAACAAATTTTTTTGTGAGAACACATGAATCTTTGTGGGACTTCATAACTTCTTTGTTTTAAACTTGCAATTTAGGGATGAAATTAACAAAAGAACTTGAATTAATATAAATAATTTTTTTTAATAAATCACATAGATAAAGTTATTATTTAATGACAATATAATTAAATATAATTCATACATAAAAGTAAAATTTTGTTAAAATTGCCCCACATTATTAATTAGTGCCAGACAAATTACAAAATTACTAAGGGCATTTCTTAAATCTTTTTAATTTTAAAATAAATTTACATTGAAAGCAAAGTGCATTGCGATAAATATTATTATTTTTTAATTAAACATCGGGAAAATTTTTAATTAAATTATTTTGAAAATACATCCGCGGCAATTTACTTAGCTAAAATTTTCTTTTCATAATTTTTTAAGTTAATTAAAAAAGTTTACTTTGACCTTTTTGATTTTTGTGTATTATTATGTCCTAATCTATTATGTGTTAAGAAATGATAAGTCGACCTTTTTTCTTTTTCTAGTTTTCGGTTGTCTTTACGATAACCCAGTTTTAGGTTATCGCCGATTTATGACCCGGGGTTTTTGCTAGCCGAAACCGGTTTTGGCTTAATTTTTCATACAGAATATCCAATTCATATTTTATCAAATTAAAATTCATTAATTAAATATTCAATAAAAAAACGATTTCCTTTTTTGGCTTGCTTAAACAAATCGTTTCTTTAAATTTTCAACCATCAAAGGAAAGTAAAAAACAATTTTATGTGATAAAAAGTTGTAAATCAAATTATAATATAAATTTTAATGGAAAAGAGCCAATATGATTATGTTGTAGTATTATCAATAAAAGAAAGATTTAATTATTATATAAATATTTAAAAAATGGAAAGTTATGTTTAAATGTCTCCAAGTTAATAATCAGATCAACTCATAGTTGATTATAAGAAATTCTGATTATCCCAAAAATTTAGATCATAAAAGAAATTTAGATAATCATCATTTATATTATCAACATTTTGAATAAGATGTTCCTCCTCAGCTCGATTAATATTTCCTTGGTCTAACTGAGCATTCTCGTTGCAAACAATCGGCTCTTTTCCTTTGTTTTCACAATCGTCATTCTGTTGATTTTTAAGTGATTTATTATTATCAGTTTGAATGTTTCCTAATTTTGAATTTTTTACACAATCATTCATCTGTGAATCAACAAATAAATTACCCTCCTCATTATGAGGCGGTTGAGTTGGAGTAGCATTTTGAAAATGAATGTTTGCTTGATCTAACTGAACATTCTCAATGCTTATAATCGCTCCTTTCCCTTTGTTTTCACAAATATTATTCTGTGGATTAATAAAAGAAGTTCCTTCATCTCTATCGTCTTGAACGTTTCTTGGTTTTAAACTATCATTTTTTAGAATTTCTTTTTCATTTTTCTTTTTTTGACGGTATTTTCGTTTATTTGCGGTCCTTTTTTCTTTATTAGCTTCTTCATATTTCTGTCTATATTCTTGTATCTTTTCTTTGTTGATTTTTTTGTAATTTCGAGAATAATCTCGCCTATATTCTATTATCTTTTCTTTATTTTTCTGATAGTATTCCTTCTGTTTTTTCTTCAGCGATTCCTTATTCTTTTCGTAGTAATTTTTATTGAATTCTTTCTGCTTTACCTTTTTGTCATCTTTTATATTCGTTGTTGTGCCCTCTTTATTAATTTTAATTTTAGGTTTTAACGTTTTTTGATATTTTTTATTTTTAGGAGCAACTGATGATTCAGCCCCCTCATTTAATATTTTATTTAAATCATTTGAAGCTTCCCCAACTATATTTAACTCATTTTGATTTTTATTATTTTTAACAGAATTAATTAAACTCCATAAAATCGAATTGAAAATTAAAAAGATTAAAACACTAAAAAATTTCATCTAAATTAATTTAAGAGATGATTCTAAAATGTTAAATTTAATTAAAAATTAAATTAATTAAATGAACTTTTAATTAAAAATAATTAACACTAAGTAAATAAATTTACTTTGCTTAATGACAAATCATTTTTTACTTATTCCCAGACCATTTACGAAATAATAAAGTGTATTTTTTATTTTAAAAAAATATTCCTTGAAAAGAAAGTACATACGACCTTTGATATTTTTATCTTAGTTAAATACCTCGTCTGTGAGTCTATGCTCTGTACGTTATTTAGACAATCAAAACGACTATGGATATTGTTACCAACCCAGATGCGGCGGGGTCCAAAGGATGGAGAATCGGGGCTGTAGATTCGAAACAGCTCCGATGTGTAGTTAGTTTAGTCCAATACCCTCACGTCGAGGTCGGAAGCAAGGATGCCCGAAATAAAAAATTTCTATTTCGTTTCAGAGCGAAACGAAGAACTAAATATTGTAATTGTTGCTCTATGTCAGTTGTTAAAAGCTTAAGAAACCTTCATAATCTTATTGTGGTCCAATAATAAACAAAAATACATCTTTGTAAGCTAATGAAACATATTAATTTGCCTAAACTTGAAAAGTTCAAATATGTATTTAAATTTCCCCATAAAATTACTCATTAAGGTGTATTAATCATTAAAATTGTAAAAAAATTTCTTAAGCTCCTTTACTTTTGTCACATTCTTTTCTATTAATAGCTTTATTGAGTAAAATTTATTACAAAAATTCTATTTTTATTTTGCCCCCTTGTGACTCTCAAAATAATCTTTTGTCTTTTTATGTAAACACTATCAATTTATACAAACACGAGCTTTGCGGACAGAAATTTTGCGGACAAACGTGATTCGTAAATGTTAGTCTAATGATCCGCTTAAATAATAATCTTAGCTTGTTTATGCATTTTCCATTTTATAAATAAAGTTAATAAAGCATAAATGTAAAGACAGATCAAGGCGGCCCGATTAATTTAGTTATTAATCTCCCAGCTGTAGCCAGATTGAGAGCTTCTAAAATTATCTGATCCGGAGATTATAAAAAGTAACGTGGAGGAAGACGGGATTTAAGAAGGATGGATCTGGAGTCAGTCTACGGCTTTTTTATCTCCAGTAATGAATTACACAAATTGAAGGCATTTTTAACTTTATACATAGTTTATGTTATTCGAAGTCAAATATAAATTTTTGTTCGTTATCCGCAAATGTTCGTCCGCATCTGAATCTTTCCCCATTTAAATACAAAATTTTCTCTTATTTTATTTTTAAATACTTTTTTTCTGTTTGTTATGGTCGAGGAGGAATGTGAGGAATTAAATGTACTCCAAAACACGAAAAATAAAAAGAATTGCCTCCCTTTTTCTCTCACTCCGATTGTCAATTTTATATATTTATTTATATAATCAGCCTCTATTTTGGTAGTCGGCTGAATCAACCTTTTAAGTGTGGTCAATTTAGTAGGGCCAAATAAGATTTTCAATCGAAATGTCACTTTCTAAAAGATCAACAACAAAAAATATATTTTAAAAATAGTCTGTATAATTTTTTGATTTGGAGCCCTGTGATAATCTGATCTGGAACTTACATGAGAATAAAAATCTGAGTCAATTCCCGAATACTATTTTTGTTCAAAACTCGATGTCGCACTAATTAAAACCGACTATCTAAAAAACAACCATTTTTACTTAATATCATTCTTTCTATTTATTTTTTTTATATTTAAATAAATTTAATGAAAGCCTAAAAATACAATATCACGATTATGTATCATTCTTAAGTATATAATCATAGTTATTTTTTCATACTCGCTTCCTTTTACAAAAAGGATAATTTTCTTTTATTTAAAAATTTTTCTGTTTCTAAAAAAATTAAAATCGTTCCAAGAATAAATTAATTATAATTATTCTCTTGATTTTTAAATTGTGCATGCGTCTCTTCTCTAATTTTCTTATAATTTTTGTTGGCCATTTTGATGACGTAAATCTAAACTTTCTATAAAATTCTATATTATATTTTCTTTTGTTAAATTGTTTATCTTTTGAAATTAGATCTTTTGGGTTTTACCCTCCCATTCCACTCTTCTCAATGGCAAAGCAAATGTATGCGCAAGTGTGTAATGATGAAAGGATTTGCCGCCATCGCTAACATTAATAAAAAAAAAATTTTGACGAGTCTGTGTGTGGCAAGGCCCGGCTGTCCTTTCATCATCCGGCTTATCCCTCCACTCAAGCACTCATCCTCTCCTCTCTCTTCATTTTTTAATTTTATTCCCTCTCATTCTCCCTATTTTTAATCGCGCATTTTATTTATTTTTTAAATATTTTTATGTATACGTCGTGTTAGGGCCTTAAGCATACATATTTGTGTCTCAGCCCATGTAATACTATATAACAAATAATTTCTACTAAATTTTTTGTTTGGCTTATTTATGGATATGTTATGCTCGATCATCGTTGTTGGAAAATTGAGGCCTGAAAATTATTAATTGAGTAAATAATATAATAAATAGTTTATCTTATTATCTCTCCCCGCCCCTCAAATTTTAAATAATTTTAAATAATTTCTTAAGCTTTTGATTTTAACGATAGGGACTTGTAAAAAATATTAAGGCCAATAACCTTCATAATACCAATAATTCAAAAAATACAAGTTTTCCAACCCAACTTTATTCCTAATTTTAATTAAATTTTTTCTCAAATTTTATAATACATTTAATTCTCTATCTATCGAGACTTAAATAATTTAAAACGGTTTATCCTTTCCAGAGTTATCCCGATTGGACTAGACCCCGTCTAGACTCAAATCATTTCATCACCCATCATCTTCCCTTTCATTTTTTGATTTCAAAATATTTTCTCGACATTCCCTCTTTCCCTATCTTCATTTATTCATTTCACAATCCTTTCTAAAAAATTTTTTCATTTCTTATTAAAAAAAGTTTTTTGGTCGTCGATCGGCGACGTTGACCGCAATCCTCTTTTCTCCCTAAAAACATGTATCAATGTTGCAAGTAAACATATTTGTTCAGCTTTTTTTAAATATTATTTTTATCATAATAAATGTAAATTCTAATCCCTTTTGTAAAAATATTTCACAGGTGTAGAAGAACATTTTTAGCAAACTCTTACTAAAAAATATTTTTATTTGTTTGCTAACTCTTCGAAATAAATTTTTTGACTGTCATTTTGCTAAAAATAGAAAATTGATTGAAAATATATAATTTTTAAATTTAGTAGATAAAATTAAAAATTAAAACAAGAAATTCCCAGAAATCATCCAACCCTACTCCAATACTTTTCAGATTTTGGAGATAATCAAAATTAGATATATCACATGTCATTTTTGAAGATTACTATTTGTGTTTATCTATACAGAAGGGATTTGTCTGCTCTCCCATTTTTTTCATTTTATTCACATTTTATAACCTTTTTCTTTAATCAAATTTGTCCTTGCATGTTCGCTTTCTTACACAAAAAAAAAAATAAATTTTTTTAAAAATAAATTTTCTTAAAGTTCGGCTGTCCTTTCTTTCCAAATTTAAATTATTTTTACATTACTGTCCAATTAAATCCAAAACTTCAGTTTCTTTTTCTCTTGGGGATTTTCTATATTTTCTCTTTTATTTATTTCCTAAAAGCATATCTCCCTCCAAAACTGCCTTTTCCAACTTGGATTACTTGGGGAGTAACCTTTTTTTCAAATTTATTGGCCACCCCTTTACATTTACATTATATAGCTGTCCACTATTTCCTATATCACCCTATTTTTTCGTATTCCTTCCTGAAAAGGATCGCCCGAAATGAGAGGTGAAAGGGAAATGGCAAGTTTCGGCGCGGTAATGTTTGGTCGAGATCTTCTCATCCCTTCTATATCTCTTTTAAGGGTACAGCCCAAGTAGGCGCACGGCCAAGTAGGTGCTAAGTCATAACTTGCTTCAGGATTTCTGAATCTTTCAAAATTTAGTAGTAAAAAATTCTCTCATCGAGCTAAAGAGATTGGTACCAAAATTGTTAAGGCCAAGAAATTTTACAACTAGTTATGGCTCTGCGCCTTCTTGGCCGCGCGCCTACTTGGGCGTGTCCCCTCTTTTAACAAAGATACCTTTGTCTCAAAAAATCTCAAAAATTTTTTTTCAAAAAACTGAAAAATTTTCTCTTGCGAGATATCTCGAAAAATATCGATCTCGATAACAATAATCTTTATTCGGGATCTACTGTTCCTTAAAATAAAACTAGAAATATAAAAGAGCTGCTTCCAGCCATATCGCGCCAAATTTTACCTAAACGGAGATGGACGTTTATGAGAGAGAGTTGAGAGTGAAAGAAACCTTTACTTCTCTCTCTCTCTCTTTTTCAATTCGTTTCCGTTACACCAATTCCTGTCATTCCCTTTTCCCTCATTCCATCCCTTCCCTCAAACATTGTTTTGCCTGCCAATTTTCGTAATGAATTTGCAAATAATTTTATACTGGTACAAAGCTGGATGAGTTTTTTTGCCTTTTTTATTAGTAGACATCCTCTGTCTTTATTCAAAAGAGAAGAGAGTTTATATCTTTATTAAAACCAAACAAACTCATTATGACTAGGGTTGTCGGTAAGAACCTACCGAAGAAATCATGATTTTTTGATTCTTTTTTAGGTTTGGTTCCGAATATCCGAAAGTTTTCCAAGAACCGGCAATCATGACAGATAACAAAGTTTGGAAATACGGCTGAAATTTTGGTAGCTTCTGCTTTCTGACACCCTAGACTTGACTTTAAGACTCAAGTATCTCCGACCGATCTTAAATCCAAATAGAAAATCGCCTAGACTTAAGTTCAAATTATAGCAACTATTCCGTAAAAAGATTTAAACTTAATCTGCTTAATTTGTCAGCAATTTCAGTTAAATCTCAAAAGAAATAGTTCAAAAACCAATTTAAAAAAATTTATTTTCTTCTAAAAGAGATTGTGTTACGATTTATTTTTCAATTTTATTTTCCATTTTCTAAGCAATTTAAGAAACGGGGGAGGACATTAATGTTTTGGGGAACGAAATCGATATGTTTTTACTGTTCTTGACCGGCTGGAAGGAGTGTAAAAGGAAAAAAGAAGGCAGATGGCGCATCCGAAACGACTGAGGCCAGACTATACTATTTTTACTAAACAAAACGGGAAAGAAACAGGGGAGGTTATATTGAAAAAGCTAAATAAAAGAAAAAATGGATAAAAATGCAAATGGACTGGCTGCTTTAGCTTTGGTCGTTTGGGCACCTAACATGTAGACGCGGGTTTAAAAAACTTGAGCTGCGTATGGTTCCTGACGCAGATCCGTAGTTGGCTTTGGATGAAGCCGGAGCCATAAGTACTTAACATTATCATAGAGGCTGTTGCTAGAAAACTAGTTTCTAGTGAGTAAAAGCACTCTAACTATTCAAAAATATTAACTCTGGAATGATTATGCTTAATGCCAACGATCAAGAAATTTAAATAAAAGAAAATAATTGTATTTTTACATATTAAGTAAATTTTAATTAAAAATATTAGTTGTCTTTTAATTAAATTTTACGGAGGGTCTACTGTATTCCAAACATTTTCTGCTGTATTCTCGCGTCCCAACCACCTCACGCCCAAACCATCCCAATCCCAAAGCTTTAGCTTTATTTTCTTCCTTTTTATTCATTTATTCCGCTTTCGTCACGTTAAATTCATTCTTTTTAGTGCCCATCTGTTTAGGTAAAATCTGTACGTCCTCGTCAAATTTTGTTTTGCTTTTCATTTCTTTTTTCATTTATTTCAGTGATATCTATATGTCATTTTATGTCACCCCTCTTATCCCTTTTTGAGTAGCTAATAAAACCAAAATAAAAATATCCTTTTTTTGAAGTTACCGTATTTCCTCAAATAGTACGGCCGGCCGTACTATTTTTCAACCCTCTTCTAAAGGGCCGTACTATTTGAGGGGGCCGTACTAATTGAGGGGGCCGTACTATATTTCAACCATCCTTCGAAATTATCTGAGATCTCCAACAAGCCTTATCTCAGTTTTTAATTTGTAATCTTTGCAATTCGGTTAAATTTAACCCTCTTTTATCTTCTTCCGTTCTCTATTCCTATACCAAAATATCCCAGAATCCAGACTCATGCACTTAGTTGTTATGAATTATCAATGGATTTGATGAGATTTAGAAGAGATATCGGGAATTTCCCTGAGATCCATCCAAATCCTCGGATATTTCTTCTAATCCAGCTTAATCCATCAAATTCCCTCGATATCCTTCCAAAACACTGATATGGATTAAGAGAATTTAGGTGAATTGAGTGGATATCCGAGTGATTTGAGTGGATATCCGAAGATTTAATTGAATATCTGAAATATTCAAGGATTTGGACGAATATTAGGATATCTGGGGTATTCGATATTTATAGGAATTATGAGGGATATATGCTGATTATGAGGGATTTCTTGTGGGAAAGTAGATTTGAATCTTAAAAGTTCAAAATATGACCGAATTATAAAAAATCCAATAGAGTCACTTTTTTGTATGGTAGGACCCAGAGATGTAGGACCCAGAGTGGCGTCTCAGATATAGCCACTGTACTCACAAGGGAACATTGTTTACTGTAAGTGCGAATTTGATATATTTTTTGGTACCATTCGATAGAGGACCCTCGACTTAGTATCTTGCTTAAATGCTTAATAACCCAAGGATTTGTGGAGATTATGAGAGATTAAGAGTATTTTATTGACAAATGGAGGGATCTGGGAGGATTAAGCGGTCAGATATTTAATTATAAAGATGAGGATTGTTACTATAATTCGAAGAGCAAATTTTGTAATATTTTTTATATTTTTAAATGGGGGCCGTACTATTTGGGGGGCCGTACTAATTGAGGGGGCCGTACTATTTTTCAACCCTCATCTAAAGGGCCGTACTAATAGAGGGGGCCGTACTAATTGAGGGGGCCGTACTATTTGAGGAAATACGGTATATATATATTTTATTTTTCCTTGTTGCCACTTGAATTTATTAAAATTCATGTTAAAATTAAATTTGGATAGGTCATAAAAATGCTAATTTTAGTAAGATTAAGGATTATTTGAATAAATAAAAAATTTTCTTTTACTTAATATATTATTTATTAAATTTTAAAATTCTAATACCTTCTTAAATATAATCACGGTGCTACTTCCAGGACATGTTTTACGATGCTACAACAATTATGTCTCGCACTCTTATATTGAAATGTGTTATTTATGGTTGTCGGTTTCAAACCGAACTGAACGTTTGTGGTCCGGTAACCGAAAATTTAGTTCCGATTTTTCGGTTCGGTTTTTGTTAACCGAAGAATTTGTTGAAACCGACAACACTATTGTTAATGTTAACGTTCATCTCTAAACTAGGGAGGTGGGTTTTACGAAGTCTTTCAGTTAACCCACAAAACCGATACAAACTATTTCAGTTCGGCTTGAAACCTTCTTTAACCTCAATTACCTCAAACCCCTAAATAAAGAATAATACCAAAAAAAAATAAAATTAAAACCTCTCCAAAAAGAAAGAGGATATACCAGATATTGAAGAGGCTTCTTATAAATGCATTTTTATATTTTTCTAACTCCAATTTCTCTTCTCCTTTTTTGTAAATAAAAGTGCAGTTTATTGCCGTTTATTTAAGCTATTTTTTATCCTTTTTTACTAAAAACTCTTTCTCTCCCTTTCCTTTTAAGAAAATATCCAATATATTTATCCAACTTTGAAGATGTTTTTTAATAATATTTATGTTTACTTCTAAAGTAAAATTAAAATTATTTCTCTTCTCTCAAAAAATAACTATACACAAATATTTTTATTTAATTCCATTGCCCTCAATTTTTTTGTTTGTTGGGAGGGAGGAAGAAAATTGTTTTTGGTAGGAGAGCTTTCTGTCATTATAAATATATCCTCGCTCTCATTGAGGATACCACAATTTTCTTTTTGGGTTTAATTCGTTTTATATAAAAATATTAAGGAATATCTCTAAAGCATTTTTACATGTTCAAACAGAAATTTCAAAAATATGGTATAGAATGCCGAATAAAAATTAATAGAGTGCCCGATAAGAGTGTGCCTAAACTGATTTTAAAAGGCAAAAAGGCACACTTATCCAGTTCTGTATTAAAGCCAAATCTACTAGGTGATAATATGTGGAAAATTTAAAAATCGAAAACCAATGTTCGTTAAAAACTATATCCAAAAAAACTGATTAACCGAGAATGTAAAAATCACCAATAAAGGAAGGGATTATACAGATTTTTTTGTAGAACTTAAGAATTATTTTATTCATTTCCATCCCTCTCTCTATTTTTATAAGAAATCATTAAAATCTTCCACAAGAGATATTTGGCGACAAATTATAATTTTTATTGAGGGTTGTGTAAAGGTGTGAATTAACTTATAAAATTGACGGGAATGTTTACTTAATATATATTATTGACCGATTTTTTGGGTATATAAAAGTCATCGCTGCCTTGTACGAAAAAGAGAACGCCGGATATAAAAATGGAACGAAAAATGTAAAAACATATTAAATGTGAGAGTAAAGCAATTTGCGCGAAATAGTGAGTGTGAAGGGATTTTCCCATTTAAAATTGAATTTTTCTCCCTCTTTCTCACCCTATTCATCCCCTAGTTTTGTTAACCGACATTTGCTTAACGACATTTGCGAACAAGGGATGTCACGGTTTATTCGGAACACGGACATTTTTCGACTCTAACCCCGGCCCGAGAAAATTTTCAGACCCAGACACAACTTTTTTCTCAACCCGTGATATCCTTGTTGCAAACAGAACTAATGTTTGTTGGAATTGGGGGTTCATTGCTTCTTGGATCTACAGTAATATTTTGAACTACTGTACTTATCACACCATATCTCAATAAGCTATAAGATAAAACTTTTAATGAGTGTTCAAAAATGTCGGTACACAAATGTCATTCTGTCCTCATTTTCTCTCTTTTAGAGGACAAAACTCTTCCTCTATTCTCTCCTATTATTCTTTTCTAAAAAGCTTTTTTTCTTTTTAGACGTTGAAAAAATATTTTTATTATTATTTTCACGCCTCACTTCCGTCTAAGCTTTGGATGGTTAAATTAAAATAAAATTTGTAAAATTTAAAATCATAAATACACCCTAATTGAAAGGATGACAGTGGAACCCCTTACCTTACCTGAGAGAGTCCTTTGGGTGAGGTTTTCTTCCCTGAATGTTTAGTTATACTTTTCGAGATATTCTCTGTTTGAATCCATTTTAAATCTCTTTCCCTTTCCAAAAAATTTTTCCGAGAAATTTTTTTCCTTTGGCATTTTTTTATTTTTCTTTATTCCCTCAGTTAGACAAAATTCTCTTCATTTCCCATTATCTCTCGTTGCACTTTTAATTTCTTATATCCTTTCCTCATTACTAGAGCCCGGACCGATACGATATTTTTTCGATATTTTTCGGTATTTTTCGATATATATTTTTCGATATTATCGAAAAAATATCGACCGAGAAAATTTTGTCTTTTTCGATATTTTTCGATATTCGGTATTTTTCGATATTTATCGAAAAAATATCGACCGAAAAATTTTAAAAATCGAAACAATCGACCGACCAAATTAAAAAAATCGAAAAAAATATCGAACGTCATTTTCGACAAAAATTTGAATTTTTGGCGCAAAAAGGATGCATTTTTGCTTCTTGCCCATCGGAAATTCAAAAAATTTTCGCCTGCGGCGCAAAAATTTTGCAACTTGACCTTCCGAGATTTTCATAAAATTGTTAGAATATCCTGTTTTGTCCCATTAAGCCATCATATTCCCTCGATTCCCTACAAAACACTAATATAAATTTAAAAAATTTCGGTAGATTAAGGGAGATTTCAGTGTGGTATGAGAAGATTTGTGGGATATTTGAGATATCCAGGATCATGAGGATATTATGGATATCTGGGATAATCGACTATTTGTATAACTTATAGAGGATTAAGTGGGTAAAATGAATCTCGAGGAATCAAGACGGAGCTTTGTGAGAGATGAATATCAAAACGGATATCAAATGCCAAGATTTTTCATCCTCTGATATCTCGTTATCCCTCGATATCCCTCTTAATCCACAAATCCCTTGATATCCCTCCTGATCTCACAAATTTACAATATCACTCTTACTACCTCTAAACTCTCGATACACACTCCATCCATTAATATCCCCTTAATTCCTTAAAATCCATTATCCATAGATAAAATCCACTTATATCTCACTTGATCCTTCGATATCAATACAAATCCATTGATATTACATTTAATATGTCCAAATTCACCAATATCCTATTTAATCAATCTTAATCTTATTAAACTATTAGGTCTATTCTGTTTTTCATTGGTTATAGAAAATTTTTTGAAAAATCGAAAAATATCGAGACTTTTTTTTCGATATTTTTCGGTTTCGATATTTTTCGATATTTATCGAAAAAATATCGACCGAGCCCTCCGTCCGGGCTCTACTCATTACCATCCCTTCCCAAAAATTAATTTTCTTCCATTTTTAAATAGTTTATAGTCTTCAAATGTTCTTTGCTTTTTATTCCCTCCCAGAAAAGCTCATCACTTTTGTGCTCAAAAATAATGAAAAGCTTGTTTTTCCTGGCTACCCTCCTTTTTCTTTCTTTTTCTTCCTCCCTTCCGCTTCAAAAAACATTTTTCTTTTACCCTCTTCATGCATTTTGCTCGGTCATCGTTCCTACTCCTTTATCCGCTTTCTTTGAGGATGTGTGGGAGTGGGTATGTGCGCAATTAAACGCCAAAAAGGACATCCTAATTTTGTATGTAGAAGTGGATCGTCTCAAGCATTGGTGGGTGGTGTTAACCGAAACCCGGACTTCACTACACGATCCATCTTTGATTTAAAGACTATATCCATGTGGAAAATTAGTGAATACGAACCGCCCTAGCATGATTAAAGGTATCTCATTAAAGACATCTATCTCATCATCATCTTATCAATACAGCCATACTATGGCGTTCATTTATCTAATTTTTAACTATTTATAACTCTACGTAGCTTGATGCAGTTTATTTTTAAAATTATTTTTGACAAATTTTTAATTGGAATTATTCTAAATATCTTTTTAATAATTATGTAATACAGATTAAGCGAAATGTGATCTTAATATGTACATAATACTTAAAAATAAAAAAATATTTACTTAAAAATTACTAATGGAGTTTAGGTACTTAATATGCAAAAATACAATTATTACTTTATATATATGTATAGACAATTACGTTATGCTATGTTATACCTCAGAATTTTCTTGCATTATTTATTTTTGAATGGTGAATGTTCATTCGCCAGATACAATAGTAAAGAGAGATTGAGTTCAGTTTAGTAGTGGAGCAGTCTTTTTTTTATTGAATCCCTATGCCCTTTCTACAATCTATTATATTTTTGTGGTTTTGAATTTTCTAATGATCCTTGTCTTAAATTTATTTTTTTTTCTTTGAGAGTGACAATCTAATCTCTATTTTTAATATTCCTTTTAAGTATCAATTATTTGGTTATATTATATAGAGGTCTTTCCGTATTTTCTAAATAATTTCTTAAAACACTCTATTCTCCATTCTATCCCTCATTCCCCCTCTAAATCTAACAAAAACACATTTTCCTCTTTTGGCGTTCTTTGCGCACACCCTTGAATTTCCTCTTTCTGTCGGTGTAATTTGCCTTTTCCTTCGTCTCGCTCCACCCAAAAATACTCAGTTTTTCTTTAATTTTTTCGTCTTAAATTTATTCCCTTCTCCTCGATATTCCTTTCAATTTTCTTCCAATTTCTTTTTTCTTCTTAATCATGGCCTCAAAAATTGCAAAAAACAACACATTTTTTGGGTCCTCCTAAAAATTAAAAAAAAAAATTTTTCGAAAAAACAGCTTACTTGTTTGTAAATAAATAAATTGTCTTTTTTCTATCCTCTTTCTTAGAAAAATAAAAAAAATAAATAAATTAATTAATGAAAAAGAAAAAAAATTTTTTAACAAATAAAATGCGCACACTTACTGTCATTCAAAAAAATATTTTAAAACAATGGGTCAACATTGACCACAAAATTATTTTGTTAAAAATGTGAAAGTGTTCAAATTACATTTACAAAATTTTTTTTAAAAATTGTAAAAAAATAAAAATTTTTAAATTTATTTTTTAGCTATTGTCCGCAAAAAACAAATTCTGCAAACATTCTCCGTAAAAGTTTTGCGCGAAAATTTGGCTGCAAAATTTATTTTAGATAAAAAATAATTTATTTAAACTTTAACATAAATTCTAAAGACTTTAAAACAGAAGAAGGAATATATCGGGCAGTATTTGTAAAGTTAAGATTATTCCTTAATTAAATTCTGTTTAATATGCAATAGTGAAATTATGTTTTTATTTAAAGATTTTTACATTTTCTTGTCATGTCATCTGGGTATATTGTTAGGTTTGTATTTTTGGATAGGGGATTTTGATTCCCTAAAAGACAGGAAAAGTATTTCTAAGCAAACATTTACATAAATAAACTATATTTTTTATTATGTTTCACTTTCTTCCACTTCTGATGTTTAGAATCGAGTGGGTCTGTCCCTACAACAAAATTTAGGATCTTACAAAAGCTTCAAATTCTGCTAAATTATTATTATTAATTATTTCGCCAATTTTTCCACAATAAATTTTCAAAATCGATTTTTTTTCTTTTTTTCTATAGCCCTCTAATACATTTACTTATCCCTCATTTTAAAATATTAAATTAATTTTTCTATTTATTTATAGCTTTAAATTCTAGTCTCCAATTAATCATCAAAAAACAGCCTAAAAGTACTCAAATTATTTAGTACTTGCTACATAATATTAAATATTTAATTATTGCTACTATATAAAGGTTACATTAAAAACATTAATAAACTTTACTAAATACGAATTTCGAGTATTTTGTTAAATTTTATCTTACGTTTTTTGATTGTTTTTGGTTTGGTCCCGCCAAACCATCAAGTTCAAAAATCAAAATTATTTTAAATTTTAAAATGTAAAGGATATTTGTTTAATTTTTTATAAAGATGGGAGACAATCTTCTGGAATCATACAACCCTCTATATGAGTATGTTTTATTTTTGTCTTGAATTTAAATTCTAATACAATTTAAAGTGTCCATCTCCGGCAGTATTTTGCTCTCCCTCATATGCAAAAACATTTGAGAAATCTTGGACTGGTCAGATTTTATTAATTAAAAACTGAATTTATAAGAAAGTTTTTTACACATCATGAAATATTTAGTACTTCAATTAGGCTTTATTTGAACGTCGAAATTCGCAGACTGATATTAATTTTTATATCTCAACCCAACATAGTATTGAAAATTCACTGCTCACGCCCCGTGCAAGGATTTTCCTTAAAATTGATCAGCTTTTAAATATTGCCGTGATTTTTAATCAAGATCAAATTCCTTATTCCACCGCTTTTCAATCAACCAGTAATTATTTATGCCGTGTTTACATAAAAAAACGCTTAGCGTTTTCGGCAGAAAATAGTATAGAAAAATATGAGAGAAAAAACGCCGGCGTTTTTTCTCTCTTACTTTTCTATACTATTTTCTGCCGAAAACGCTAAGCGTTTTTTTATGTAAACACGGCATTAGGAAATCAAAATTTCCTATTCAAAAATACGTTTTGTGCAAACAAGAGACCTATCACGAATACTTAGGGCGAGAAATATGTATCTAAATTAAATACTAATTGAATTTTTACATACTAAGTAAATCTAATTTTTATTTTCATTTTTTTCAAAGTACCTACATTGCAAAATCACTGATTAAGATTTTCTAACCTTTATATCATTGATAAATTTTCATTTAAGCTCGATGGGTCTGCTGGACAAAGTGAGGAGTTACACGCCGGTCATTTACAAATGATGGATATGATGTTACGGAATAGGTTTACATTTTCTTAAATAATTTCTCATTCTTTGTCCGATCTAGTGAATCTTTTATTTTTTTCAAAACTCAAAAACCTTATGCCAAATCTTTAAATTCCTTGAATACATTGGTACGGTATTTTTCCTAATTGAGCGTCACATTCGCCAAATAGATGCTCAATTACAAAATCTCAATGGGTCCCCCAAATCTAATCAAAATTTGAGGGCATCTGTCTACTTTTCTCCTGAAATTTTGGCAAGGGTTGTTTTTGAGCAGCTAGAGTATCTAGTATTGGGGTATCTTACGGAAGGATTTGCTACAGCAAAAACAATTCAAAATCTAAAAAATTTAAGAGAAAGAGTACTTCAACAATTAGTAGACCTTCAACGTAAATTGGATGCAGCTGAGAAAGTGGAGCTTTACAGACGTATTCGAGTTTGTTTTTTAATTTTTATTTTTAAAAATTTTTAACTTTCAGAGTGGAGTTACAAACGCAGAAGAATTAGAACGTTCACATGTTTCACGTAGTCTTTCGCGTCCAGCTAGAAGTTTGTTTTTTTTAATTTTATTTATGGGGGGAGAAGCGGCACTGACTTTCGTGTAACGACTAATATGTAGTTAACAATATTTAGGGAATAATATCCCTATCAAAAATATGAAATCTACGATAATTCATCATGTAGCAGAGTTAAAAGAAGTTTAAATAAAATTTTAATTTAATTATTGCATATTAAGTAAATTCAATTATATAGCTATTGAATAAATAGTGATTCGACAATCTCATTTGAGGAATTAGATCCCCCATTCAGAAATAGCACCATCATAGCCAACGAAGCAAACAAAATTTATCACACTATTGGATAATTTAGATAAATAATAATTGGATTTTTATATATTATGTATGTATAAGTGAATTTCTGTAAAGAGATTTTCTGCCTGTGAATGTTCTTATTTCCCGAGTTGCATAACTATGCTAGGCATATACAAATTATTTCATTCCTAAAAAGAGCTGTTTAAGACATCAAGTTTTGGACAACCTTACTTGAAACTTCAAAAATAATTCAAAAAAATATTTAAAGGCGCACTAGGAAATGGCCGATTTTCAAGAGAAGGAGGTGGTCATCGGCGTCAACAATCGCATAGCCCTGAAGCTGGGGATTTGATTAAACGGGTTGAGACAGATTATAGAGCTGACAGTGCCCCGATCAAAAATTCTAAAAGTATTTACAACAGATTGGCAGCTAATGCCTACAAATATCAATATTTACATAAGGTAACTAAACAAGTATTTTTACTGCCCAATGGGAGTATTTAAAATTAATAAAATAAATGGAATAATTGAATTATTTTTAAATTTACAGAGAAAAAATTTAAGAAATGAAAATCAAGAAAAAAATTGCCTAAAACCCAAAGCACACCCACAACAATAGGATTTTAAGACCCTTTAAGCATTGCAGATTTTTTGCATACTGTAGATATAAATAAGAGGGAAAGTTACTTCCTAAACTCCATGGTTAAACACATATGGAAAACGAGGGATTAATTAATTGAATATGTTCCGCATGCTGGATTCGGCATCTGTCCCAAAATTTTCAACCTGACAATCGGAAGTTAAATACTCTTAGAACGGGGATGACAATAAACATGTGATTTCTAGATGAATAAAACATTTGTCATTTGAGAGTCACTCGCTTAAAATATTTTCATAAATTTATTTTTCAGCTCGACGACCGAACTCTTCGCAAATACATGAACTCTTTACGGAAACAATTGGCCAAACTCGAACGTTTCAGAGAAGTCTCTTTTGGCCCTCACACAATGGCTAAACACCAACCGGCGCAGTTGCAACAATCCTGGTTTTTCCGCCGCAGGTCCCTGCCCAGTTTGGAAGCCGCAGTCGGCGCTACTAATAACTCACAATCCCAACAAACTAACGGGGGTTGGAGGTGAAGGATAACAAAAAATATTTAAGGGTTTAAGAAAAACTTTTCTGTACCTTTAATGGTTTTTTTTTCAATTTTCGGGACATTACTTTCTTTGTCTTCTTTTCCTAAAAAATTTTTTCTATTCTCAAACCTTTTTTTGGAAAAACTAGTTAATGAGACAGAATCCCACACAAAAAATTCAAATTTTATCAAAATTTTTCGAGATTTCGAGATTTTTGAGTATCCTTTTAAAATTTACTTGGGTTGTTTAAACTAGAGGTCGATCGATCCTTCTGATTTACAATTTCCGAAAATTTAAGCTTATTTCCGATTTCCGACACCTCCGCATTTTTGTTCGGCTTCTGGTTTTAACTAGAGATTAGACCTAGACGAGATCTCGACAACAATCTCAGTTTCCGAGATTTTTCCGTGATATTTTTCTATTCTTATATGACCCTCATAGTTTAGTCTTAAATATTCTAAATCTCTCCTTTCTCGTTTTCCTTTGCTTGGGTGCTTTAATAACAAACAAAAATACTTAACTAATTTTAAAATTTACTAACCTTTTTAACACTTTAACTGTCCTTCCTATTTTTAAGACTGATCTCTTTTGATAATAGAAGATCTTGTCTTAAGTTATGAGGTAAAGTCCGCAAACAGAATTACGAATATGTACAATCGAATTTCATTATAGGATACAGTGCATTTAGGGTTAAATTTTTTTATCGTCAGTGAGAGAGTTCAAAGTTTCTCGTTCAAGCATCTCCTAGCTCCTGATCCTTCACTCACTTCGTATAAGTGCTAATACCGGGATGATGCTTTTCTATTCCTCTTTAATTGATCTCTTAACCCACCGCTTATCAAACGTTTAAATGTTAATCATTGGATCTTCTTTCTTCCTTAGCTATTGTGAAGTTCGAACTGTAGCATCTGCTGATATTTATCCATCAATTGCGGTTAACATTTGCGGACTTTACTTTCAAAACTTAACTTTCATTTCCTTTCCTTTTCCTTTCGAATTATTAATCCTAAAACAAATTCAATTCCTTATTTCAGAAGCCTTAAATCAGGCAGAAAATCACGAAGCGGCAAGTCACAATCTCCACGCCGTGCAGGTGCTGCGGCTGATGAACCTTTAACTAAAATGCGCAGAACTTCAATGTCACGCACTAGAGCAACTCAAAAACTTCCACCCTTGCCACAAACCGCAAAGCGCTCTTTTACTGGAAATCGTTCTATGCCGACTCCAAGCAAGTCTATGGAGCAGAAACTGCCACCAACAGGCATTACCAAGTACTCTCTCGATAATAGCCTTTTTAAAAAAAATTTTCTTATCAGGCAAACTAAAAAGACTCAAGAACGCCCTCCACGTCGTTCTCAACCAACTACTGTTCAAAAAGCACCCGGCATTAAAACAACGCCAATCGGGGCACGACCTCCTTCATCTAAAGGATCCATTACTCCTGTCAAAGTGCAGAAGCCTCCTTCCATGTCTGGTGCTTTACCAGTCATAGGAGCTGCTGTAGGTGCTGCTGGTGTTGCAGCAGTGGCCGCTACTATTGTAAATGATGATGAGCGTAAGGAGGAGGATAATAGAGAAAATGTGGTCAGTTTAAAAAAAATGGAGAAGAGACGGATTTTTGGATGCAGATTTTTTAAGGACAATCATAAGAAAAAAGACAGAAAATTCTTAGCAAAAATATATCCGTCCTTTTTTAATATTACCAGAAAATCCTGTTTGAAAATGAATAATTTTTCCTTATTTTCAGGCCCCTTCTCCTTCAATTTCCTTAGCCGCCTCACAAACTACTACAACCGATGGGCAACCAGCAGGTGATTCTGAATGGGAGGGAGATCAAGTCGAAGCTCCGGCAGAGGTTGTAAATGAAGAAGAAGCTAGGCCAACACCTGGGCCCTTTGAAGGAGAGACAGAAGTAACAGAAAACCACGTGGAAGGAAGTGAAGGACAACTAACTGCTCGAACTGAAGTTAAGTCTGCTGCTAAGGAAGAGTTAATGGAAAGGCAGGATGAGGTGATGGAAGAAAATGAAAACGAAGAGAAAATGAAAACTGAGGAAGAAATTAAAAGAGAAGTGATATCGCCTGATGGAACAGAAGCAGTGGGTTCTGAGATGGAGGAGGCTGAATCTAAAAATATTTCTTCATCGCCTGGAAAAGAAGGAATGGAGGAATCAGAAGAAATTCCACAAGAGCCAACTCAAGCATGTTCTCTTCAACAACACTATGAGCGTGTCAAAAGAGAAGCTGAAATAAAGGCAGAAGAAAAAGAAGAGGAAGAGGTATTTGAACAGCCTATCCAAAAGGAAGAAATATATGAGGATAAGGAGAATAAAGGATTAATCAGTCCTAAAGAAGAAATTGTTAGCACACAATCTCCCGAAAATATAATAATGAATGGAGGGCATTATGGGCATAATGAAGAGGTTGAAGGAAGTGAACGCTCTGTGGAAATTAAAGAAGAGAGTTTAAAGGAAGCTGAACCAATGAGTGATGAAGAAAAGAGAGTGACTGATTCTCGTGTTAGTTTTGCAAAAAGTGACGATTCTATTGAAAGAAGGGAAGAATACCCAAGTGAAAGACAAAAAAGTGAAGAAGCTGTTGTTGAAATGGAAGAATTGTCTAATCAAAATGTGGAAAATGAAGAAAATATTCAGGAATCGCCTGTTAAGGTTACGATAACTCCATCACCAGAAAATAAAAGTTGGGGAGAGGAGGAAGAAGTGAAAGATGGAAAAGAAGATGAAGATGAGGAAAAAGTCGTTGTTATGGCTGAAAGCCCTGCGGTTGATGAAGCTTCGATTTCTCATAATTTTGAGGCTGGGAGAGATGAAGAAGTTGAATTGGAAGGCTCTCCAAGAGTGGAAGAGCAATTGGGACAAAGCGAATCGCCTTTAAATTCTACACGTTCAGCAGTGAATGGAATAAATTATGAAGAAGGACAGGAAACACAAAATGAAGAACATGAGGCTGAACGTGATTTAGAGCATCGTTATGAGTTGCCAGAATCTAAAACTGTCTCTGATTATGTTGAAGAGCCTTCTGAACATTATGATGAGAATAAGAATGACGAGGTATTTGAGGAAGGGCACAGAATGAAAAGGGATGTTGATGGATTTGGAGAAGGTAAAGAGTATTCTGCAGGAAAGGAGGAAGAACATTTTGGAAGAGAAGAGGAAGTGCACACTGGAAGAGAGGAAGAACATATAGGAAGAGAGGAAAACGGATTTGGAAGAGAAGAAAGTCAACATTCTGGAAGAGAGAAAGAACATTTTGGAGAGGAAGAGGGAGTGCACACTGGAAGAGAGGAAGAACACATAGTAGGAAAGGAAAACGGATTTGGAAGAGAAGAAAGTCAACATTCTGGACGAGACGAAGAACATTTTGGAAGAGATGAGGAAGATTTCGAACAATTAGAAAATAAGAATACTGAAAGAGAAAGTGATAAACATATCGAAAGTGAAGAGGAACAACTTAGTGGTAGAGAAGTTTACTCAGAAAGAGAGGAACATTCTGGAAGTGTAAAGGAGGAACATAATGAAGAAGATAATGGGGGCTTTAGAAGAGAAGAATTACATTCTGGAAGTGAAAATCAGTATACTGAAAGAGAAGAAAGAATGACTGGAAGAGATGTTGTAGGAATAATTGAAGGAGAAGAGGAAAGGTTAAGAAGTGAAGATGGAGAGCAAGGAAGAGAAGATGAACATAATCGAAAAGAAGAGCATGTAGGAGATAATGAAGTAATGTTTGGAGGAGGAGAAGAAAATACAAGACTAGAACATGTCGAAAGGGAAGAGATTGTCGGAAGAGAAGAAGACGATGATCACTTCGAAAAAGAATCTCAGAATACTGGAAGAGAAACTGTAGAACTGATTAAAGGGCCAGATGAGACAGAATTTGAGCAGTTAGTCGAAAGCGAGTCTGTCCAACCTTCCAATGAAGACACAAACAGAAAGCTTAGTGGATCGGAGAAGTTTATTCAGTTGGAGTCGGGCGAAAGAGGATCAGTACAAGAAGATAGGCCAGAAACGATGATAAGTGTAGGGAATAATTCGCAAGTGTTGCCTGATGAAGCTTCCATCATGCATGGTACATCCGAGCTTGATACTCATTCCAAAGGTGGAGAAGACGAACTTGATGAGGCTAACTTAGTGCATTCGGAAGAGACTGAATACAACAGACCGGAAAGTAAAACTGAAGTGTCAGAGGTTAGACATGAGGATGAACCTGAACATGAACCTGAAAATGAGGATATTTCTGGGTTTGGACATCAAGAAGTACAAGAAAATGGATCGGAGATACAACATGAAGAAGTTTCCGAAAGCAGGCAAGAAGTTGAACCTGAAATTACCAGTCGAAAATCTGAAGATATGTCGGAGGTTGGACATGAAAACTTTTCTGAAGCTAGACACGAAGATGTTCAAGAGAATATATCAGAAGTTAGGCCGGAAAGTGAGCAGGAAGTTGGTGACAGGAATGTTGAGGATCGGACTGGCTTTAGTCCTGAAGTTGTTTCTGAGGCTAGACTTGAAGAAGTATTTGGAGATGGGCACATTGGAGAGTTTGCTACAAATCAAGACGGATCCATAAATAATTTTGGAAGCCCTACATCTAGAGAAGGAGAAGGGACAGAATTTTATGAGAGGAATGAAGATGAAAATCAACGCGCAGAAGAAAGTGAGCCTGCCACGTTTCGTTCAGATCATATTGAAAAGCAAAGCTTGAATGATAAAGAAGAACAATCTCTTCAGTTATCTGAATCACCGAATCTCTTAGCCTCTGGTTATGAGGATGATGCTCGATCTAATCATTCTAAACCTTTTCTTCAACAGCCTTCAATAGAAATAACGCCAGCTTCTGATCATAAATATGTTGGGGTATGTAATATAGTTGAACTTATTTATAAGATACCCCCAAAATTAGATAATCAGTTTAAGATACATTTTTTTCTGAATTTTCAAAAATAAGTCTTTTAGAAGATACGATTTTTCGGGAATCTCATGATGAAGTCTTACTGTAAAATAGTGAAATAAAATTAAGAATTAATCTAATCTTAAATTATTTTAGTATCGAGGAGAAGATGAACCGAATAGTGAACATTCCCAGCCCATGTCGCCCGTTGGAGAAGAAAGTCAGCAACAACAACCACCCGTCGAATGGAGGAATTATGAACAACAAGACATTCACCAGGTTATTTGAAGAGAATTATTCAATTAAAAATTGTTTTTTTAATCCAATAGGAGAATCGCAACAATAATAACAACAACTACCAAGAACAACTTATCGACTTCAGCTCATCACCAACTGCTCAAGGGGATGAAATAATAGATATTAGTGATCAAACACAACATTCCCCTCATCAAAACGGGCATCTGAAAAATTATGAGCAACACGAAAATGAAGATGACGAGAACACATCCTTGTTAACCTATAGAACTGAAAATGAAGACTCTCCTAGCAAAAAGAGTAACAATAACTACAAGGGAGAGAACGGTCATTTACTTTTGGGGAATGGAGAGAATAGTGGGAGATTGTCATCTTCTTCAACAGAAACTGAGGGGGCAGATCATGAAAATAATAATAGTGATTCTTCTTCGGTTGTGATACGTCAAGGAACTTCTACTACTAGTTTGGAACACGGGCAACAACATTTCCAGAAATTGGAGAATGAGGGTAGAATTGAACAGTTGTGAAAAATAATGTAGTGATATACAAGAGGAATTAAAGTTGAGAGAGAATTAGAGATTGGACTAATAAATTAATGTTTTCTTCATTATGGAAAGATTTTGCAGAAATTATTTACTTGCGGAAGACCTTATCACATGTGGATCTCGCTCATGCACACTCACCTTGATATTCCTCTCATTTTTAGTTTGGGATCAGAACCGGTTCAAAAATTTAAAAAATTATCAATAATAAAGAATTCCCTGAATTTATTGGTCCAATCTCTAATAAAATATTTTTGTTTGGTTTGCACGGGCACAAATGAATTTCTAAACTTTCGTTTTTGATTAATTAAAAACAAAACCATCCCTTTTTTAGTTAAACGCTTCAATTAAATCTTGCTTTATTTTAATTATTTAATTAAGAAATAGAGCCCTAAATTCAAGAACAAAAATTGTTTTTAACTAGGGTTGTTGATTTCACCAAAATTTTCGACTGCCAAGTTTGGCTTGAAACCAACAATCCTATTTTTGACTAGTGATAGAAAAATTATAAATTATTAATGCATCTTTAATTTAGGGCTCTATTTGCGTCGATAAGTTTTAACTTTGCTGCATTGTTTTAACAATTTTCCAACGATTTATTTTTTGGATAAATGCACACGAATTTTTATGAAAATATAGAAATAACTGACAATATCGTTATTTAATACTTTCAATAAATATTATTTTTACATGTATGTAAGAATACTGTCTTATTTTGACAATAGTTCTAATTGTTTTTTCAATCAACTCGGCAGCTGATCAGAGCATGTCACAGATAGCTTAATATCATTGGATAATGCAAATTGGAATCACGGATAGAAGCAACCTGCACGAAACGTTGCGTTTCATTAGATTCATTATGTTTTCGCCTGCGGCGGTGAACACTAAATCTTCAGGCGTCTTCGGTGCATATCACAATATTTTTTAAATTTCCCTCTCGAATTCTTAATCTTATGTCAGATTGAGCATATATAAAGGGTCCAACACATACTCTCTATGACCTCATAAATGAACACATAACATAATAAAATCAAATGTTAAGATGTACTAATAACTTTGCATTTAAAAGTTTCTCCTCGGTGCGATTCATTATTCACTTAGTTGCCAAGCCAGTCAAGCTAAATACACTTTCAATTGGGGCAGGAAATCTCGCCCAAACCCCTTGGCATTTCCTTCAAATTATAAACATATCTCATCGTATTTCAACGCCGCAGGCGTAAATTTTTGAATATTGGAAGTCCAAGCAGTAGATTTCTTCCCTTTTTGCGAATTCGGCAAAGTCAAACATTTATTTAAAAATTTATTAAAAATTTATTAATTGTCTATAGAACAAAGAAATTTCAATTAAAAAATTAAGGAAAATTAAATTAATCAAAAATAAATATGAAAAAATAATTGGACATAATTTTGCAGAATAGTTCATATTAGGGTTGGTCCCCGACCCCGACTAACCCCGACCCCGACCCCGAACCCCGACATTTTTTGACCTAAAACCCCGACCCCGACCCCGACATTCCCAACCCCGAAAACCCCGACCCCCGAAAGTTCGACCCCGACGACCCCGAACCCCGAAAAATTTTTATGCCCCCGACTCAAACTGCATTAATTAACTAGAGATGGAACGGGATCGGGACTTTGATGCTAAATATATGAAGGAAAAGGGAAAGGAATATTTATATTTTCTCCTGTTTCCCTTTGTTGGTCGATGGTTGAGTGGTTAAGTTAACTGACTTCAGCCATTTAGCTATTTTGATAGGAATGTTGTTCGAATCCAGGGATGGAAATAAGGCTGAGAAAATTTTTCTTCTCAAAAATAAATATTTTTAAACTATGATCTTGATTTTAAATTTGTAAATTTATTTTTTTAAATATTTTAAACTTGAAACAATATTAGAAATTTTAAACTAGTCATGAATTTTCCAAAATTTTCGCCTGCGGCGCAGAAAATTGAAGAAATCTGTCTCTTGGCCTTCCAAAATTCTAAAAATTTTTGCCTGCGGCGCCGAAAATGGAAGAAATCTGGCTCTTGACCTTCCAAAATTCTCAAAATTTTTGCCTGCGGCGCTAGACACAATGAAGGGATACAGAGGCTTTAGGAGAAATTGATGGATAGATGGATTTCTCCCGTTATCCTTGCAACTCCCCGATATCCCGTCAAATCCCTCTAAATCCCATTATATCCATCTTAATCCTCTGATATGCCTTCATATCCCCTCAATCCCTTTACATAAGAGGTGGAGTAAGAGTTACCTTGTGGGTTTGGGGATTTTGGGGATTATGAAGGATAACTTGGATAAAGTACTTCTTGCGCCTTCAACTAATCACGAATTAGATACAGAAAGTGAAGATAATGAAGATTAAGTTGATTTTTTAATAAAAATGTTGATTTTGAACAGTAATTTTGGATAAAAATGCTGGATTTTGTAAATTTTCACTTCAACCCCGACCCCCGACCCCGACCCCGAACCCCGACATTATTTTCAGCCCCGACCCCGACCCCGAACAATTTGAGCAACCCCGACCCCGACCCCGACTTTGTCAACCCCGAAAACCCCGACCCCCGACTTTTCCAACCCCGAAGGCTCGGGGACCAACCCTAGTTCATATGTACAGCTATAAATCTAAAGAAAAGATCAAATATAGGGAACGGAAAGATTTATTTTTTTGTTGTTTTCATATTTAAAATTCATCCACTTGTTTATCCAAAATGTATTCAGGAATTAAGAAAAGAATTTAAATAAGCCAAAAAATCCGAATCATCCAATAAACTCTGACCGATTAAATCATCACGATCATCCATTTGTTGAGTAAGAAGGCCATCAGATGATTGAACATTTGGTTGTCCATAAGGGCAAGCATTTTTGTCAGATATATTATTTAGATAACTATCCGTCTGTGGATTAACAAATGAAGTTCCTTCAGCCTTATCATTCACTACCAAATTATGAGAAGATTGAATAGGAATTTCTTCTCCTTCTTCAGCATTATCATTTCCTTCCACATTTTCTCCTTTTTCTAACTGGATATTCTCTTTGGAAACTATCGGTTCCTTTTCTTTACTTTCACATTCATTATTTTGTGTATTAGCTAATAAATTTCCTTCATTTGATTGAATATTTATTAATTTTGAATTAATATTTTGCACAATTTCAAGTTTAGTTCCATTTTTGGAAGTTGTTTTTAACGCTTCTTTATATTTTTGAATTTGAGGATTAACCGATGATTCAGCCCCATCATTTAATATATTAGTTGAATTATCTGAGGCTTTTGGCAAATCATTATCCTGTGGAAGAACAAAAGAAGTTCCTTCATTAATTTCCGATTGAATATTATTTAATTTAGAAAAGACATTTTTTAAAGTTTCCTTCTCGTTTTTCTTTTTTTCTCGATAATTTCGAAAATATTCTTTCCTCGTTTCCTTATTGTTTTGGTTGTAAATTCTTTTATTTTCTAGTATCTTCTCTCTATTCTTATCGTAGTAGTTCCGATCATGTTTTTTTCTAATTTGTTTAAAATTTGCAGAGCTTCTCTTTTCTTTTAGCTTTTCTTTATTTTTTTGTCGATAATTTCGAAAATATTCCTTCATCTTTTCTTTATTCTTTAAGTAATAGTTGCTGAGATATTCCGGCTGTAGTGTAGTTCACCGGAGGTAAAAGTTCGGGACGAGACATATGTCATTCGATTCGTCTCGGCGAGCTGAGTCGAACGGTACCACTCCCAGTTTCAGGAAATGAGTCTGGGCCGAGTTATAGGTCCCGAAAAATCGAAAAACCATAGGGGGGACCAAGCACTTTTTTGGGGTGAAAAATTCGAAAATGCAAATTATACCTCATTCGAAAGAGCTCCTCGAGCTGAGTCGAATGACACCAAAATCACCGTGATTGGACAAGATTAGACAAAGTTATGATCTTTTATTTTAGCTCCTTACCTATGACATCTGTGGAGATTTTTGATGCTTCGGAGGCCCCAAATATGTCCAGAGCAAGTGAAATAGGAATAGGTTTATGTTACGAGCCCAGACCCAGCGCCCGTAGACTCCCCGCGAGGCGCGTGCCGCAAAACCCCGCGCGAAGCGCGGGGTTTTGCACAAGCGCCTCGCCGACGACCCATAGGTTTAGGTATTTTGTTTTTTGTGTCATAACTTTGTCTAATCTTGTCCAATCACGTTGATTTTGGTATCATTCGACTCATCTCGTCGAGCTCTTTCGAATGAGGTATAATTTGCATTTTCGAATTTTTCACCCCAAAAAAGTGCTTGGTCCCCCCTATGGTTTTTCGATTTTTCGGGACCTATAACTCGGACCAGACTCATTTCCTGAAACTGGGAGTGGTACCGTTCGACTCAGCTCGCCGAGACGAATCGAATGACATATGTCTCGTCCCGAACTTTTACCTCCGGTGAACTACACTATATCCGATATTCCTTTCTCTTTATCTTTTTTTCTGCCAAATTATCATTCTTGTACATTTTATCAATTTTTGGATTTGGTTTTAATATTTTTTTATAATTTTGATTTTGAGGAGCAACAGACGATTCTCATTGAATATTCTGGATATATCATTTGAAGTTTCATCACCTCTAGTTAACTCCTTTTGATTTTTATTATTTTTAACAGAATTAATTAAACTCCACAATATCAAGTTGTAAATTAAAAAGATTAAAATGCTAATAAATTTCATTCTAAATTAATATAAAAA